TACAACAGTGAGCGCAAGCTACATTAAAGTGATTATTACGTTTTGAATCTGGATATTTTTCTTACAAAAACGCATCGATTCGCTACAGGAGGCCTTTGTTCACCCCCCGGATTCGTGTGAACTTTTTTTTTTATGGATGGGCGCTTTTTATTTAACTTGTTTTGGACTTTAGCATGCAACACCCGCTGAGTGCCATGAAACAGCTTGAAAGATGGAAGACAATTTTTTATATAACTCCGACTGGATTCGTCTGAAAGAAGAAAGTCATACACCTAGGATGACTTGAGGGTAAGTCATTTATGGGCTAATTTTCATTTTTGGGTTAACTAACCCTTTAAGGCTTGTTAAGACCCGTAGAAACCCTGACTTTGCTCTAATCACTCATTTTATGAATCGCCTACTTGGAAAACTGGATTCCAAGGTTTTAGTCACATTTACTCTATAGTTTCTCAAATTAAATAAAATAAAAAACAACCAAATACACAAAGGTTCTGTAAATATTAACATTTATTTGAGTGTACAATTTTAATAATTCTTTTCAACCTCATTGCAAAGGTTTCAAGTCTCAATGCAAAGCGACCCTGGTTAAACGAAGGATGAAAACTGGAAAATATATTTGAATTGCTCAAATAACACTGCTAAAAACAGTGAAACTATATGATCCGACCCACTGCGGACCGTCAGGCGAACCAGAGCCTCTCTTTTTGAATTAGTACAGCATCACAGTGCGTTATTAGTAAAACATTGAGAACGTACAAACTGTCCACTTCAGGATTTTTTTTTTCAATGGCACACATGAACATTAAATTCCAGCTTGAACCGTATCTGACCAACAGAAAAAAAAAAAGTGCCCGTGAAATTTATTGTAATGCCAGTAAAATGCAAACTAGCATATGCAAACAGAAGATTTCTAATAACTGTAGTGCTTCTCACATCTAATTTTAAGGAGAGTCCTGACGTAGTAGCTATAGCACACAATGTGTAAACATATCTGCCGTATTGCGCCGTTTCCCCACTTTTTTCTTTTTGATTCGTGCAAATATAGAAACCGACTCAAACTCGGAGCAAATTTACAACTTAGCAATGGGGCTAAATATGGTTTCTAAGAAAACAACAGCGCTAAACTGAAAAAGAAAAGGTAAGAGAAAAGCATGAAAATAGTGTTCTTGCTTTGTCACAATATCAATATTAAAGACTCGCTCATCTTGTTCCTTAAGAGTCAACTTTCGTTCAAAGAATTACAAAGAAAAAAACAAAAGACCCCAAAACATTCAACTCTACAAATCAAGAAAACTTGATGTAAAATTGCACGTGAATCCAGGAGAGGAAAATAAAACCTTTACAGGAGATGCATGACAAACCTTTACAGATTAAATGAGGTATTGCACAGATTAATACAAAAAAGCATAAAGGCAACAAAAATTTACAGCAAATCGGTCATCCATTTACATTACAATTTTATAAGATTTAGAATGTCAAGAGCAATGTAGTGTTTTAATTCTTTTGGGCAGCCCTGGTCATCAGTCATCCCACTCATCTTCATCCTCAAAATCTTCTACATCATCATCATCATCATCATCATCTACAAAACCACGGATTGAATGTTTAGTTTTCTGCTTTTTAACCAAGACAGACGTCTAACACAATCTAAGTGAGTCTGATTGTAATTGTCATCAGGTCGGCACATACCTGAAGAGTGGATCGCTTTGCTCCTCTTCTGCATGACCTCCATCAGCGCCCCCACGATCCCAGATGAGGGGGAAGAAGTAGGCGGAGCCAAGTCTGTAGAGTCCGGTACCTGAAAATATCACATGATCAGAATGGTTTTATTCACCTGCATGCCACGCAGTTCTCATGATGGACACAAATCTAAATCAAGAGTTATTTTCAGTATGGAACTGAAGCTGTGAGAGATGCTGTACTTAGAGATGTTAATATTGCTACAAAAAACAAACAATTAAATTGATTAAGTAATGTAAATACATGTCACTGATTCATCGACAAAACAGGTACCAGTGGTTTTAAGCTAATATTGAAGCTGAAAATCTCCAGTACCTGTCTTGTCAGTAAACAGAATCGCTAAAATAATGAAATTTTGGAAATGTAAGGAATTCTACAAAGAACATGAACTAATAATTTTAATTTATTTTTATTAATTTTATTTAGCCAACTAGTATGTTTGAGACGGCTAACCTAAATATTTGAAATAGATTTCACTATATTACCGGTATATAATTTTTCTCAGATAATTTATATAATATTTCAGTTATTTCTGGTTACTGGAATACAAAAGTACAAACTGTTCAAAAGTTTGGGGTCAGTAGAATTTTTAATGAAAAAAATAAATAAAAGCACTCTACTCACGTTTTTAAGATGAATGCCCTGTCGTATTTGGTCTAAGAGTGAGTCACGGCCACCACTGGACACGGGCGGCTTGTTGTTTTGGTCCACTTTCTTGAGCTGCGCTCCTTCTCGTATTTGGTTCAGGAGTGCGGATTTACCCCCCGGCAGCTCCCCAGAATCCCCGTCTGGTAGCAGAGGCGTGGGAGGAGGGGGTCCCGGAGGAGGTGGTGGCGGCGGTGGTGGTGCCCCGACCATTGAAGATGGAGGAGGAGGTGGAGGGGCTGGTGGAGACAGGGAGGCAGGCTGGGATGGAGGAGGTGGTGGGGGAGCAGTCCCGGGCCCTCTGCTGGGGGGAGGAGGTGGTGGTGCTCCCATACCTGGTCGGAAGGGAGGAGGTGGAGGAGGAGCAGAGGTGGGCACTCTTGACGGCGGAGGTGGAGGTGGCGCTCCTCGGCTTCTGGAAGGAGGTGGGGGAGGAGCGGAGTTGTGGGGAGGTGGGGGAGGTGGCGGTCCTCCTCTGGATGGTGGAGGTGGAGGTGCTGTGGAAAGACAACAGAATGCTGCGTTATGGTAAACATACCTAAAAAATGGATTCATGTAAAAATACTGAGTGCAACGTGTCTCAAAACGTCAAGATGAGGATGAAGTTGCTATTAAGAACTGTTGTTTATAGCTGCACAGCAGCTTAGAATCACAGAATTCTGATTCAGAACTCTCAGATTTATTTTAAGATTGACTATTTTGAAGTTTTTTAAATGAAAATGTCAAAGAATATGAAGATAATTTATAATTAATTAATAATTTTATCTTCCGGTTCGGGTCCTTCAAGCTTCAAATATTAAGAGAAAATAAATGAGATTAGAAAACCTTACAAAAACAGGCATTAATACATGGCTACTGACCAGATAAAACATTAATCCGTTGTATTTAAAGCAAAATCAAATACGTGATATTCAAGATTTTCTCATGTTTTTGAAAGCAGCATCTTATGCTCACATTTATTTAATTGAAACAATAAGTATATATTATGATATACTACCAATTTAAATAACTGTATTCTTAATATATTTATGTTTTATATATTATATTTTAAAATGTAATATATTCCTGTGATTTATTCAGTCACATGCTTCTTCAGAAATCATTCTAATATGCTGATTTGCTTCTCAAGAAACATTTTTATTATTATCAGTGTCAAATTTTTGTGGAAACATATATTTCGTGATATATGTATTCTTCAAGACTGTTTGCTGAATAAAAAGAAAAAAAAATAGAAACCTTTTGTAACATTATAAATGTCTTTACTGTCACTTTTGATCAATTTAATGTGTCCTTGTTCAAAAATATTAAATTAAGAAAAAGCTTAACTCAAAACTTTTGTTTGTTTACTTGTATTACAGTTACTCGTATGTACTTGTGTTACAGTTATATTATATTTTGGCCATATTGCCCACCCAAACAATGTGGTAAATTATTAACATCCGATATGCCTGTCCAAACACTCTCGAATGCAGGCAATCACTTCAAAGTCAAAGCCAACTTAGAAATAGAAGTTTCACTCCAGGGTTCTTGAATTCGTCACAGGACAGAGAAAGCAGCTGTAGCAGCTTTCATGTAGGATGCACTATGTTCATTCTGGCTGCTGCTCACAGCTGAACTTATTCCAGCAAACCAGTGCTAATACTACAAATGCTGACTCTGAAGAATAAGTTGGACTGGGGAAATCTGAGCTGTGAGCAGTGAGTAAAACAGAAGAGATGTTCTTCTAACATCTGACCAGAGCTGGAGTGTTGATCTTGTGCTTGAGACTTCAAAACTGCATTAAAGTGGCTTAAATTGTTTTTTTATTATTATTATTTTTTTTAAATTCAGCCTGTTTCTTGAACAAACAGGGATCAGTCTGGATCTGGGAATTTGGAGGTCTAGTTTTGGAGTGTTTTAAGGTCTTGACTCCAACTCTGGCTCTGACTCGAGGCTACAAATATGATCTCTAAAGATACACACACAACTTCAGCCCACAGCAGACTTTTAGTAATGAATGCAAGCCTTCTGATTGGGCCACTGCAGTGCCTATTTTCGAGGTACAAAACTGATTGTTTGTTCTTTTTTTTTCACTGCAGACTCATGCAAAATGGGGAAAGTAACCTACCACAACACCTTGGGGGTCCTGAAGGACAAATTATTTGAACATTACTTTATTATAGTACAACATAAGATAAGGTTTGCTTAGATACGTTCTAATATCAGAGTTTTCAAACACCTGATAATCGTACGCAAACTCTTGGACTCACCTTGTCGTCGAAGTTCATTTTTGACAGCCTCTACTCCTCCTCTCTTCTCAATGAATTCGTAGATGTCTTTAGACGTCTCTATGTCTTTGAGCTGGGCCTCAGAAATGCCACACATGTCAAACAGGTTCTTTAGCTCTGGGTCCAGATTATTCAACTGAGAAAAGACAAACAAAAGTCAAGGATCTGAATACAAATCAAATTTAGAGTTAACTTCTGCTTCTTGTGTCACAGTATTCCTAATTTTTAAATCACGCTTTTGTAGATCACTACATTAACTGTGGACATACAGAAGTTTGGGGTCAGTAAGATTTTTTTTAATAAATAAATACTTCTATTCAGCAAGGATCCATTAAATTGATCAAAAGTGACAGTGAAGACATTTATAATGTTACAAAAGGTTTCTATTTATGATCCTGAGTAAATTCAGCTTTGCATAACAGGAATAAATTACATTTGAAAATATATTCAAATAGAAAACAGTCATTTTAAATTGTAATAATATTTCACAATATTAATGTTCTTGCTGTATTTTTTATAAAATAAATGGAGCCAGAAGAGGCTTTTCAAAAACATTTAAACTCTTACTGACCCCAAACTTTTGAACAATAGTGTATTCCAGTAACTAGAAATAACAAAACTTTTTGTCTTTATTTTGAACAGTATATCTATTTTTGAAATCACTGAAAACCTAATCAATTACTTTTTGTGAACTGTATTGCTCGAAAAATGTTCTTGTGCTAAACAAAAAGTCACTCAGTTTGCTCATTTATTATGTAATGCAATGAGATTCAGACATCTTTTAAACATAACTTTTAAGATATATCTTAAGACTTTTGGGGGACACAATATTTCAGAATATCCTTAAACCACAAACAGATGAATGTACCGTATAGGGCTTAATAATTATTTCCTCTGATAATGAAACATTTCTCCTGCAGACAGTCTACCAGCGCAATCACACCGTAACCCCCAATAAATCCCCTTTATGTAATCTCTCATTCAGGGGAGTTCAAATTAAAAAGTGGAGCCACACAGATCTAATACACACTCCCAGCGCAACGCCTGAAATATGATCCTTGATTTTTGGGAGAATGATTGTTTTGGATTATAAAGATACAGCCCCTCCAATCTCATTGTGTAAGAGATGGCTTGCTATTGTGAATCATATCCTGACGTGACCCATGACCCAGAAAATGATGAACACATGTAAACAGATGCGCTTTAACATGCATTAAACATGTAGTGGCAAAAATACACACATCAAAGCCTGTGTTGGGATCCCAGCCGACATGCCCAACATGCCTGGAAAAACAAAAAGACATTTTAATAAAGAAACATGAACCAAACAGCTTAGAAACTGTAAATGCATTAAGCAAATAAAGATAAAACGGAGATTAAAGTACATCAATAAACGCGTTCATGTTTAAGGAAGTCTCATCCGACTTTAACATGATTCCTGGAATACAACGGCCAGATTATCCACGTCTGGGATACATTACATGAGATTAAAAACAAGTGTCCAATCCGATTACACTTTCCAACACAACATACTTAGTGAACGCCCAGGAAAAGAACAGGAACTCCGATTTGATAAAGCAGCTTCATTGTTAAGTGCACAAGGAAATGAATGCAATACCTGGCCAAAACCAACAATGCTAGAAAGGGAGACGTGAAACCTAGTTGGTTTGAACATAAAAGTCAACTCACCGGAAATTGCTCGGGGTGCCGATTTCAGCTTTGGATATTTTCTTCTTCTTGTTCTTGCCTTTGCCTTTGTCTTTGTCTTTCCTGTTGAAGTTGATGTTGTTCATTTGAGTGTTATTTTGATAACGCTGATTGTTGATTTCGGGGTTCTTTATGTCCACTGTTGCCATCAGAAGTGTTGGTCCTAAAGGTCCTGATGGTCCTGACACAGTCACAATCAAATTAATTTTTAAATTCGGCATTAAGTGATGTCATAAAAATGTGGAAGCCTGTTTCCAACACGGTATTAAAAAAATAATAAATTAGGGTAATTGCGACTTTTTAATCTCACAATTCTGAGTTTATATCTTGCAATTATGATTTTTTTTCTCATAATTCTTGCAATTTTGGGAAGAAATGTCTGAACTGAGATAGAAACTCGCATTTGCATCCTGACACAGTCACAATCAAATTAATTTTTTAATTCGGCATTAAGTGATGTGATAAAAATGTGGAAGCCTGTTTCCAACACGGTATTAAAAAATAATAATAAATTAGGGTAATTGCGACTTTTTAATCTCACAATTCTGAGTTTATATCTTGCAATTATGATTTTTTTTCTCATAATTCTTGCAATTTTGGGAAGAAATGTCTGAACTGAGATAGAAACTCGCATTTGCAAGGAAAAAAAAAAAAGAAGTCAGAAGTCTTTTTAGTTTTTTTATAGCGTGGCAGAAACAACAAAGTCCAAATTGCAAATAACTCAGAATTTATAGAAAAAAAGTCAATTGTGAGATGTAAACCCAGAATTCTAAGAGAAATAGTCAGAATTGCGAGACAAACTCACAATTCTGAGAAAAAAAGTCAGAACTGTGAAAATAAAAGTCCTAATTCGGAGTTATATCTCAATGCAAATTATGAGATAAGAATTTCACAATCACGTTTTTTAAATTGTTTTTATTCCATGGCAGAAACGGGCTTCTATAAATCAAGCACTTTCTATAACACTCACTTTCTTAAATGCACTGAACACAAGAAACTGTTTTAAGACTAAAACCGGCCAATAAAGCACCTCGTCCAATCATGTAAAAGTCTTCAGAGAAACTTCACGAAACATCTCAGGTCACAACCTACCTGCATCCTCGCGCTCGACACTGTAAGCGGGCGAGAGTAAAAACAACGGGCTACAGCGTCCGCTAATGTCTCCACCCCCTAAACCCACATTCAGGAGGATTTTACCCATCACCACACAGGTGCGCTCGCTGTGCCGCAGGTTAGCCGCGGGGACCGTACAGCTCGTCTTGCGGGAGTACGAGGCACTGCAGGGGAGCCAGGCAACCTCCCAAATCTGAAGCCTCATCTAGTATCTCATCAGTCGGCGCTGACAAAAAGGTGGTGCAGAACATCATCTCTGAATGCATGCAGACGTCCACGACACTGGGTCCGGTCAGGCTGCTCTTGCTTTTCTCTGCCAGCATTTGAAGGCTGCAGCCAGATATAAAGTCCCGCCTCTTTTTAATCCCGACAAATTATACACCACCGCTGGATTTTACATAACCATTAAAGCCAGCAATAAGCTGCTGCAAATCTCCCAGGCTCTTCTAAGCACTGTGTGATGAGGACACGCTACAATGCAACACCAATGAGAAATCCTCCACGCATCCAGGGGGCGCTAATCACCCGAGATGAATGTCAGTACCAGGTGACTGTAAGCGGCTGTAAGTGGTTAAATTCATATAACCAGCAGAGAAAATCCTCTCAAATAGAACAGGTCTAATATTTGTTGTGTTGCTCATCCACAGACATCAAACACATGTCAGGAGGTCAAGTATACACGAACATGAATTGGTGAAACCTCATGTTACTTCAAAGCTTCAGCATTGCTCGGGCTATAGGATGGAAGTGACTCAGGTGCCAGATTTTCCAGTATAGCTGGATTTTTGCCTCTGGGGTGGATGGTAAAGAGGCGAAATGGACTGTTAACATATGTTAGTTGGGCGGGTAGTTGACGGCCCCTGGGGGCCTTACAGTTAAAAGACCATCACCACTGTGAAGATCAAGTTTTGACTAACAGCAAATAAGGGAGATGGTGTGTATGCTTGAAAATTACATTTGCTACTGTGTTTGCTTATATGCATTTAAAACTATGTGGTAAATTGTAGGAAAACTATGTTTTACTGCAGAAGCCGATAAGCGCCCTTGTTGTTTTTGAACAGAAGCCGATAAGTCCCCTTCTGAGGAGATTACAAAGATTAAACGAGTGTTTGTTTTTTTAACTCTAAAACATGAAATGTGGAGTTATCTGCTTTTGCCATAAAACAAACTTTTAATATGTAAAAAAACATACTTTCAATTAACTTTATTTTTGTAAATTAGGCCTACCTGTATTATTTGTTATTATTAAGTTATTATAAGTTATTATTACTTCATCAAAACAACCCAAATTCAGTTTGATTGATATTACTTGGAATGTGCAATAAAAAAACTTGATTTCTGAAAAAAATAATAAAAATGGAGTTATCGCGGTTTGCAAATGAACTCTTCTCATATATATATATATATATATATATAATTAAATAAATAACATTTGCAAATATAAAATGTAGCTATATAGAATGGCAGAATTTTATTCATTTCAATTTAATTTACTTATTTAATTTAATATAATGAGAATTTTGGGCCAAACTGTCAATACAAAACTTTAATGACCTTAAAAATAGGCTTTTTTTTCCAGGAAAATATAATTTCCAATTTTTTTTTTCTTTTGATTTCACAAAACGTAATTTGGACATTTCTTTTACAACCTGATTATTCAACATTTGTTCTGTATTAATAAACACATATCTTCAAATCGTGTGGAGAAATAAATACATTTTAACTGATAACCTTTGTCAGTCATGTTTAAAGCTCAGTCTATCAAGAATTAACGTTCATGTAATTTATTAGTGAACAACCTACCATTAGGTGGGTCACGTCTTTTTTCTGCAAGACAAAATTAAGATAACCATTACTACTAAATTCACCACCATGTGATTTTAAAACGTGAGCTTTATTAGTGAAAGAGCAAGAAGGTGAGATTTAAGATCAATCAAGTGTTGTAGGAAATAAAGTGCATGGATGAATCATACATAATAAGACCAAAGCAAATGAATTCAATTTCATGTTTACGTTGATTTTAACTCCAACTTTATCTGTGTCTGTGTCCATGATGGCACATACCTTACGGTCCGCTGAAGTACAAGCATACAGCATGATTGTTTGAAAAACACAGAAGGCATGTAGATACAAGATCTGAGTACTTACATCTCCAGCAAATGTGATAAAGTATGGCCTGGAGTAGTTTATTGAAAAGTTGTTGTAGAGCTCTTGATCAAACAATTGTTTTCCATCCTGTCAAAGCAGAAAAAGAAACGGTTTCCTTAATACTAAGAGAAACATGACTTCCATATGTGAAATGTTATATTATTTTATTTATATGAATATAGATTGTATTTATATAGTAAAATAAAAATTCATAAAATGAATCAAATATATAAATAACATAAATATAAATAATATGTTTTAATATTAAAGAAAATATTTGATTAATATATTACTTAATTTATAAATAAAATAAAACGATAATTAAATACAATTTATTTAAAAAATATACACATATGTATAAAATATATATATTTATATATGTACGAACATATATTTTTTAAACAAAATATTTTATATACAAGTTATTCATAAAATAAATAAAATGAATTTATATATATTATATGTGCCATATAATCAAATATATTATATATATATATTATTGTATCTATTTTATGAACAATTTAAACAATACATGAATAAAATATAAATGAATAAATAATAAAGTTTAAAATGAAAGAATATATTTTATTTATATATTTACTCAAAATAATAAAAATAAAATATACATGAATATAAATGATATATTTTTTAAGAAAAGTTAATGTTATTGTGCTAAACAATATGTTTGGCTCCAAATGAAAACAACTAAGCTCAATGAAAAGTGCACAGAGGTATCAAAAAGGCATCTGACCCACATGGAGCGTCTGTTGACTTACTTTCATATCAATCACCCTGATGAAGTAAGATCTCTGAGAGTTGTCTTTCACCAGACAGGCCACCCCACAGCACTTCTTCACCCAGGATGAGTTTCTGTCGGCTCCATAGACCTGCACCACGGCTGAACACAAACTCTGCAGAAACAGAAATGGCAGAATTAATACAAATCTGAAACTGAAATGCCATTCTGCACCTGCTTATGTAGGTCACATTAACCTACTGTGAAAACAGACGCCCAAGTATACATTTCAGAATGATTTTTAATAAAATACTACTTAAAGTCAAGATGAAAAAATTAAAAACATTGGTACTCTTTGGTTTATAAGTGCATGTGCCATAAAGCTCACCACAAGTGGTCAATTTTAAAGAAAGTTTTAATCCTATAAAACTAGCACAAACTGTGGCGTTCAACTGCTGCGGACAAACGGTGGTCAATCTGTAAGAGGACATTATCATACCGCAGTGTCATTCATAGAGCAAACACCTCATGACGGATGCGAGCGAGGACCACAGTGCTCACAGAAAACAGCCCGATGCTTTTCATAGTCTCCCCACGAAGCCGCCGGTCCCAACGCCAGTGAACGAAGATGCACTCTCAGACTAATCAAGAGGAACACATTACGACTGCAGTCGAACCTCTTTGGCAAAAAGCACAGCTTATAATCATAGATAATTTTTTACATTACGAAGAATGAGAGAATTAAATCCAGCATGCCTGTTTAATACAAAAAGAACCAAATTCTATGGGAGAGTTTTGCTATTTCACCTTTTATATGTAAACAATCATAATTGCTAGGGTGAATGAACCAAGTTTCTGAATACTAAATAGATGCTGATATATAAATGTGAGCGGTCATATGTTAAAGGGGTCATATGATGTTGCTAAAAAGAACATTATTTTGTGTATTTGGTATAATGAAATGTGTTTATGTGGTTTAAGGTTAAAAAAACACATTATTTTCCACATACTGTACATTATTGTTTCTCCTCTATGCCCCGCCTTTTTTACAGATCTTCTTTATGCACCAGGAGCTTGTAACACTCCAAAGAGAAAGGAAAAATTGAAATCGCATCATATGACCCCTTTAATGAGTTCTTGATTGCGATATCAATAGCATTACATAAATCTTGCAATAATTCTGAGAAAAAAAAAAGGTGTGAGATATGCACTCAGAATTGCGAGAAATAAAAGTCAGAGCTGTGAGATAAACGGTCACAAATACTTTTCTTTATTTTTAATGTAATAAAGGAAATAAAATAGGAATAAAAAAGGTAATTACGACTTTTTGTCTTGAAATTCTGACTATTTGTGAGTTTATATTGTTAGAAAAAAAATTCTCAACATTGCGAAAAAAATCAGAATTGTCTGATGTTAACGGAGAAAAAAAAGTGAATTGTGAGAAAAAAATCAATTACCTTTTTATTTTTTATGAATTAAAAGGAATAAAAAAATAAAATTATTGTGACTCACATTTCAGACTTTTCTCAGAATTGCGATAACATCTCAATTCGGTGAAAAAAAAAAGTGAGATAAAAAGTTGCAATTACCATTTTAATTGATGGAATAAAAGAGTAAAAAAAATAAAGGTAATTGCGACTTTCACAATTCAGACTTCTCTTCTCAGAATTGCAAGTTTATTCTATAGTCAGAATTGTGATACATAAACTCAGAATTCTGAGAAATATTGTGAGATAAAAAGTTGCAATTTTGTTTATGGAATAAAAAGAATAAAATAAAAATTGTGAGATAAAAAGTTGCAATTTTGTTTATGGAATAAAAGGAATAAAATAAAAAAAAATAAAATAAAGGCTTTCTTTCACAATTGTGGCTTTTCTTCTCAGACTCGTAAGAGACACAAACTCAGAACTACAAAATATAAAGTCATAATTGTGAGAAAAGGTTGCAATGATCTTTTTTTTCATTCCATGTTGGAAATAAGCTTCCACAAAATGACCTGTTTTTGCAGTTTAGCTTTTATAAAAGGATTGGACAGACATTGAAGAGTGAAAGTCAAAATCCTGCTTTCCACAATATAAACAAGGATACACCCGAGATGAAACCAACGCATGCATCTAATTAAACCGCTGAGTTTACAAATCAAGCGTTTGACCTGAGATGAACCAGCTGCGAGGAATCAGAACAAAAGAGCCAGTGAATATTTCTAGCGAAAAGCCACAAAGGACATTCAAGCTACTCCTAAAAACTGTGTTCGTGACAGTGATGTAATCCCAAACTTCCGAGCAGCACTTTTAAGTGAATGGCTGCAATATACATGAAGATGTCCTCGCCAAACAGCCACTTTTGGGGATTAACGATCAGCATCCATTCTCAGGACGGGCCAGATGATTTACATAATCAAAGAGAACCAGCAAAGCCACACGGCTCTGCCAGGATCCCGGCCAGGGATGCAGCCACGCAAATGCAGCCAGCTGTTACAGACTCACTCAAAGCTTCCATTAACAACAAGATAAAAGCGAGAGGAAGCTTTACAGGGACACAGTAGGATCACACACACAGCGAGAGGGGCTTCTGCGCTCTCATTGGCTGAATGAAGCTGCCGCCTATTATCAGTTCATTTCGGTCATTACTCAAAGTCAGAGGCATCCATCCGAACCCGAGTGCGTGTGATGTTATCTCACAGTTTATCGCTCATTATTAGCTGCGGCTAGCGGAAATGCCCTCTGGAAGAAATCTGGTGACGTAATGTAGCCTATATGTATTCATGCATGCACTCTGATGACATCACTGATGATCATACAGCAAAGAAAAGAGGCATTATACAATATGAATGTTGCTATTTTTTGAAAGAAATTAATATTTTATTCAGCAAGGATGTATTAAAGTGATCAAAAGTGACAGTAAAGACATTTAAAACTTTACAAAAGATTTATATTTCCAATTAATGCTGTTCTTTTAAACTTTTCTAAGAATCTTGAAAAAAAAATGTATCAGTTTCCACAAAAATATTAAGGAATGTTAATAAAATTAATAATAATAAGAGGAAATGTAACTTGAGCAGCAAATCAGCGTATTACAATGATTTCTAAAGCATCATGTGACACTGAAGTCTGAGCTTTGCAGGAATAAATTAACTTTACAATATATTAAAACAGAAAAAAATTAGTTTAATTTGTAATTCTTTTTTCAAAATATCACTGTATTTACTGTATTTTGATCAAATAACTGCAACCTTGGTGAGCCTAAGAGTTTCAAATACATACATATCAAACTGAAAAATAATATATAAAACAAATGAAAAAAAAAGTAATAAGATTATAATAATTAAATATATTTTTAAATAACATTATAGAACTACATAAATAATACACAAACTCCATAAATCACTACATGATTCCCATACAGAAATTTCTGTTTATACAAAAAAAAAAATAAAACACTTTTGATGAGTACTACAATAACTTGTAAATAATAAGAATATATAAATTCAGTAAGTAAGTAAATTAATCAATCAATAAATAAACAATTTTATATAGCCGTCATTATACTTTAGGAAGGGGTTAATTATTTTTGCATGAAAAACCCCTAATCTAAAATTAGTAAACAGTGAAAAACAAATTATAACTAGCACTATAAGTAGACCTCATGAGGAGACTATTACAACTCTACAAACATGTCAAATTATTATTTCGTCCATCAGCCACCCCACTCTTATGTATCAGCACTGGACATCTAAAAACTCACACTGCAAGGATAATATTGAGGTTCAAAGCTGAAGAATCTATGCCAGGGGTGTCCTGCAGAATTTGGCTCCAACTTGCCTCAACACACCTGCCTGGATGTTTCTAGTATGCCTAGTAAGACCTTGATTAGCTGCTTCAGGTGTGTTTAATTAGGGTTGGAGCTGAACTCTGCAGGACCGAGTTTGGAGACCCCTGATCTATGCTATGCATTACACACTGTCACACTCAAACGAAGAAAAGGCTTTAGAGATTTGTAGCCGTCCTCACAGTTCAAACAACAAAAAATGACAGAAACTCGGCCAGCAGGAACTACCTGAGAGGACTGGTTCTCCAACCCCCCACATTCACATGCAGGAGGAGAACCACATACTGCCAGCAGCAGCAAAAAAATCACCGAGACCCACCGGACCACATCCTCACGGTGGGCTGATCGAGCAGTCCTGGTCTAAAACTAACGCTGCTTCCAGTCGGTGTGTGAACTCCATGCAGCAAAAGCTCCCTAACTAGCAAAACCGCTGGCAGAAGACTAACAAGAAAAGGACAGGTTTGAGGTCACAAACTCATAGTTCTGTGATTCACAGCAACTGAACTGAATCCTCAGAGAAATGTGGAAGCAAATCAGCGTATTACAATGATTTCTAAAGGATCATGTGACACTGAAGTCTGAGCTTTGCAGGAATAAATTAACTTTACAATATATTAAAACAGAAAAAAATTTGTTTAATTTGTAATTCTTTTTTCAAAATATCACTGTATTTATTGTATTTTGATCAAATAACTGCAGCCTTGGTGAGCCTAAGAGTTTCAAATACATACATATCAAACTGAAAAATAATATATAAAACAAATGAAAAAAAAAGTAATAAGATTATAATTAAATATATTTTTAAATAACATTATAGAACTACATAAATAATACACAAACTCCATAAATCACTACATGATTCCCATACAGAAATTTCTGTTTATACAAAAAAAAAATAAAACACTTTTGATGAGTACTACAATAACTTGTAAATAATAAGAATATATAAATTCAGTAAGTAAGTAAATTAATCAATCAATAAATAAACAATTTTATATAGCCGTCATTATACTTTAGGAAGGGGTTAATTATTTTTGCATGAAAAACCCCTAATCTAAAATTAGTAAACAGTGAAAAACAAATTATAACTAGCACTATAAGTAGACCTCATGAGGAGACTATTACAACTCTACAAACATGTCAAATTATTATTTCGTCCATCAGCCACCCCACTCTTATGTATCAGCACTGGACATCTAAAAACTCACACTGCAAGGATAATATTGAGGTTCAAAGCTGAAGAATCTATGCCAGGGGTGTCCTGCAGAATTTGGCTCCAACTTGCCTCAACACACCTGCCTGGATGTTTCTAGTATGCCTAGTAAGACCTTGATTAGCTGCTTCAGGTGTGTTTAATTAGGGTTGGAGCTGAACTCTGCAGGACCGAGTTTGGAGACCCCTGATCTATGCTATGCATTACACACTGTCACACTCAAACGAAGAAAAGGCTTTAGAGATTTGTAGCCGTCCTCACAGTTCAAACAACAAAAAATGACAGAAACTCGGCCAGCAGGAACTACCTGAGAGGACTGGTTCTCCAACCCCCCACATTCACATGCAGGAGGAGAACCACATACTGCCAGCAGCAGCAAAAAAATCACCGAGACCCACCGGACCACATCCTCACGGTGGGCTGATCGAGCAGTCCTGGTCTAAAACTAACGCTGCTTCCAGTCGGTGTGTGAACTCCATGCAGCAAAAGCTCCCTAACTAGCAAAACCGCTGGCAGAAGACTAACAAGAAAAGGACAGGTTTGAGGTCACAAACTCATAGTTCTGTGATTCACAGCAACTGAACTGAATCCTCAGAGAAATGTGGACAACACACCCACTTCAATCATGCCACAACACGCCGTTAAAAGTCTTTCAAAATCAATGTCAAAAGGTGACTCTAAGCCTGTAGGATGCATTGATATCGCAAGCGTATGTTAAGCACCGTCACCATCCAACACCGCCAGGAATGTGAAGCATTCAAGGACTCATGTCATGCGAGAGAAACTTTGAATTTTGGGCGAGAAGTCCAGCGACTCAGACCTGGTTCCCATTTTGCAGAGAGGAACAAGGCTCTTTGGAAACCCGTGTGCCTTCATGTGAAAAGGGAAGCTTAGTTTTTGCTATCTGAAGAACACGACATTCATGTAGGAACAGAACAGGTAACAGTGGAATGAGGAAACAGACAGAACTACAAACGAACAGGTGAGCGAGAGCAGCACGTGACATTGGACTACCTGGACTAAACATTACCCAAATAAAACCCTGGTCTAATTTGGGTATCAGCATGTTACGCAACAACAGCCCGAGGGAAATCTGATTACACTGATGATGATTAAACAAAACAATGAGGGATCGTGTCTGTAGTGCACTATTAAACTTGAGATCAAAAGGTTACGATCACCTATCGCTACAAAATAATAAGGTGCAACTTAAGTTTAATAAGGGTCAAAATGAAAAGCGGTTTTCGAGCATCAAAAAAAAAAAAAAACAGTTTAATACAGCTTTAATTTTTTTAATACATTAGAATGTTTATTTTATTTGCTATATCCTTCAAACCACTGGTTTTTACCCATATGTCAGTTTTTAATCATTTAAAATATAATAATATTTATTAAGTTAAAATTTGTACTTTTATATATTTTAATAAGTTCCTTTAATGTTTTCCCCATTTATTAATAATTTTTTTATTTTCATTTTTACATAAATGTTTTAAGCTGAATGACAATGGAACATTATTTCACACATTTTTACATTTTATTTTCACAAAAGCTATTTGAAACATTAAAGTAGACACTTTACTTGCATTTAATATGCTATCCGTGCATATAAAATCACTTTTATTTGAAGCAGACACCAAAATGGGACGTCTCATCTTTGACCCATAAACACAGAAATCATCAGGACTGATTAATTTGCCAACTCGATAGTTATTTTGAGATTGTCTGTCAATAAATGTGACCAAGATGGTCATTGTGCCAAAACGTACTAATATTATACAGTAAATGTGTAAAATTAGAGAAATGTGCATAAAATTGCACAATATATCAGCCAAACATCCAATGTCTTTTCCATTTGCTCCTCCAAATCTTGAATATTTGGTTAAACATTCTTGATAGTTTAACCAGACACACCAATGACAACAGTTTCCTAAAATGAATCTTAGTTATGAAAGCCTAGTTTATTATCACTGCACACATAGCGTAGACTTGGAAATGTAAAGGTGAAGGTTTAGTATTTGAAACCAGGACTATTTGATGCGAGTCTGAAACAGTCGGAGGAGGAGGAGGAGGAGGAGGAAGAGTTTAATGTGACGGGATTCATCTGTCATAAAATCAAGCTGAGAGTTACATAAATACATGTGCCTGCCAATATGATTAAACCTCCTAATCAAGTTCACCTACTACTATGATGAGCTTTCATTAAATTAGATGAACTACTGAGGCAAAATAAGGCGCGCTGTAGCTACTTAACGTTTCCAGATTTATATAACGATGTCATGAAACGCCGACTCGTATATATAATACGGGTGGATATATAAAACTGTATAGCAGTCATTATATTTTAGTAAGGACTCATCATATTTGCTTCAAAAAGTCTGAAAACCCGCTCTCTCACACAAGTTTACCTGAAACTTTAAAAGCGTTCACTGCAGCAAAAACACTGTGAGACAGATGCGTATGTTTAACAACTGGATACAGTGTATCTCTGTATTCTGTTAATGGATTATCCAAGTGTTACAATCCAGTGAAATCATTAGTGACACTAATCGAGTTGGTAACATCACACAGCGTGACTGAACACTACCTGGCAAAGAAATCAAGCAAATGCTTGAGAACTTACGGTGCATTTCCTGCCCAGATGGTTGGAAAGCACTTCGTTTTCTTGCGGGGTGAGAAGAATGGAGCCAACATTGATCCCAGGCCTCCTGTGTGAAAGTGGACCGCTCATTTTTAACAATCCGATGGTGTGAACTTGTGATCAGGAAGTGTTAAACAGAAAATACGTGTTCATTGATCTCTGATCACCGCCGCTTGGATCCGAAGGCTCTCATAATCAGACCTGTTGTGTTTCGGCCGGTGGTGTGTTGAGAGAGGTCTTGTGTCTCAGAAATAGACACAAGGTTATCCAACGTCGTCTTGAGACTCTAAACTTTCATCTGAACTCCTGTGCACCGAGCTTTCGATCCAACATGGCAGTGCCACCGTTGCGCATGACAGTGAGACGCGGCGAATTTACAAATCCCACTACGGCTAAAGCGTAGCTTATGAATATTAACGACCCGCCGTGGCGTTCGATGAGTAGCCGTATCTAATTGGACGAGGGGCGGGCTTTGGGGCTGAGCGTTGGTCAGCTGGCGAATCCGAGAGATGTGGGGCGTGGCTTATGAATATTTAATGAATTGCGTGACTAGACGCTCAGGGAAGGTTACCAAGCAACGTTAACATGAGCTAATGAGCTAAGCCTTCGCTATAGTAGGAAACAGGTCGTGTTTAGTCTACTTATAACGCTAAAGAGTCACTTAAAATGCTTTTAAAATAAATATTAGTTGGTTATTAGACAGCTGCAGCCTTATAAATCGCAGTCAAACGCAGTTTCACAAAGGAATGCAGTGTGGGCGGAGTCATGACGTGGAGTCAAGTGGGAGATTTTTTTTAAAGGGGTCATATGATGCGATTTCAAGTTTTCCTTTCTCTTTGGAGTGTTACAAGCTGTTCGTTATATAACGTCAAATAATTTTACAAATATTTTTAGCACTACAATAATAAGGTTCGAAGCAGGCTTTCCTATACAAACAACAACAGTGCAAAAGAAAAGGAAGAAAAAAATAAAAGAAGAGGAAATAGTCAACAACAATAAAGCCAAGCTTAATCAGAGCAGGAATGTGACTTACAGGGCCACTCTGCACAAAAAGTCCAAGCCAACAATCAAAATAACAATTGCTCCTAATTAAAAAATAGCCACTTGAACTTCTTTTGCCCCTTGGACTCTTTAGCACTGACAGTCTGTCTCTGTGTTGCTTAAATATGTCAAAGTACAACAAAAGGGGGATATGTCTTCTGATTTGGACCACATTAGACATTTTAAACGATAATGAAGCCATGTGCAATTTTACATGGTGATAAGCCATATGCAATGAGTCTGTTCTTTCACCTTAGGTAATATCTTGACATCAGCAGGCTTTATGACAAGTGAATTCAATAATTTACAGAAACTCCTCAGCTATGTTGATTGTGAAGGTTTGGGTATAAGGCTTGATGTGGTGAAAATATTTGCTGCTGTCAACACTTCACAGTATTTCCAGTCCCGGCTTGAATTTAGTCACTCCCAAACATGGTTGATCAGTGAGGTAAACAGACAGAAACCTGAAAAACCAGTTAGATGAGAGAAAGAGAGAGAGAGTCAGTGGGTCAGTATTAGATAAAACTGAATATGCCAAAATAAAGGAATGAAAACACATATTCAATTATGTCTTTGTTTTGTTCAACCAATTTCTAAAACATTTTTCTTTCCTTATCTTTTTTTTTTTTTTAATTGACACAATTAATACTGTAATTAATACTGTCATCTTTACAACTTGACTTTTATATGTCTGATTAGGGGCTAACTCGACTCATAACCTCATATTCTGTAACCAGACAATTCTACTCCACCTCGAATCACTTTAATTTACAACTTCACATTAAATGTGGTATAAATAAACCATCCAATTTACAGCTTAAATAAAAAAAAGAACCAAAGAAAGTCCAAAATAATCTAATACACAGCCATTGAGTCATGTTTTCGTTGAAAGCTAGGGAATCAAACTGCTTGCGATTACCATTTGCTGTAAACACAACTAGACATTGACACAGAGGATGATAAGAGCTCCTTATCAGAAATCATATAAGTGTTGCATGTATCTATATCTCTCTTAAACTTTCACACGTATCTTATCACTTTTATAATTCAGGTTTTCCATGCAACTTTCTACTTTACTATTCTTGTCTCTTCGAGTTCTCACCTTTGCACATTTCCTTGTGCTATTTGAGGACTGATTGTGGACGAGCATAATATTTGCTCTATGGTGTTATGCTGACAACCAATGGTTTTGGCCAGAGAAAAGCTGAATGTGTTCATCTGAATTACTGCAGTATTAGATTATGCAGCAAGTATGCTTATGAAGACCAGCTGTTACCTACCGTCCAGTGCATGCACACATCAAACACACAGACACCCAGTATTCATGCCACATTTAAATGGCAATTTGGTGATGTGAGCAGCAATGCGTGTTTTTATAATCTGAAACAGACATGTTAACAGACCTTTGGAGTCACGATTATGTGAACATGTGCATTTCTGCTGATGAGACTTAAATCATTGTTTTTACTCCGGATGTGGAAGTCTTTGGAAGGCTTTAGGTAATTAGGTATATATTTTGACATAAAAAGTCATAATTATGAGATAAAAATTATTATGACACAAAAGTCAAAATTCTAAACATAAAAAACCCAATTTTTTGTTCATAACTTTGACTTTGTCAAAATAATTATGACATAAAAATGAAAAATTATGTCATTAATTCAAAATTATGACATAAAAAGTTGAATTTATGACAAATCGAAATTATGAGATTAAAAAAAATCTAAATTGGCCAAAGTCATAATTATGAGATAAAAAAGTCAAAATTATGACACACAAAAATTATGACATGAAAATCAAAATGTTTTGTCATAATTATGACTTCTTTGATAATTTTGACTTGGTCAAAATAGTTATAACATAAAAAAATACAAATTATGAAATCAATTCAAAATTACAATATAAAAGTCGAAGTCAAAATTGAGATTTAAAAAAAACTACATTTCTGTAATAATTATGAGTTTTTATATAATAATTTCAATGTTTTATATCAAAATAGTTGACAGAGTCAAAATGATGACATATTAAGTCATAATTATGAGTCAAAATTACAAGAAAAGTCAAAATTTTAAATGCCATAACTAAAACCTTTTCTGTTAATTATAACGTTTTTATCTGAAAATAATTAACAAAAAGTCAAAATTATGACATATTAAGTTATTATTATGAGATGAAATAGTAAAATTTATGACAAGTCAAAATTATGAGATAACAAAAGCATAATTACGAGATAAGAAGTTATGACTTGACATTTTCTGCTTTTTGGATCATAATTATTTTATCTTATAAATTCATGTAGTATGTTATAATTATTATATTTTGTAAATTTTCTGTCTATAATTATGACTTTGTATTTCATAATTTGTATTTTGTTTTGTCATAATTTTGACCATTTTATCTCATAACTGACTTATGGTGAGACTTCAATCATTGTTTTTACTTTGTCACTATTAGTTTAACATGAACAGCCATCCTTATTATGCTTGCAAAATATGCTTGGAATGACATTGGGAATGTACACTGATGTCAAAATATGCATTGCACACGGAGAAAATGTAGTGCAATACTGTTTAGCAAAACCCTACCAGACTCATTAAATACATAACTTTAAAACGGGTGTGTATTGTTTTGATATTGAGCTCAAAATCACACATCAGTCCTGATATGAGCATTCAGACAGCATCAATCCTGCCTTCTAAGATTCAGCTGGTCCTGCTGGGTTAAAAAGGTCAATAATCGTAAAGCAGAGTAGCTTGTTTTTTTCCCTGCATCTCTGAGGGAATCGGCTGCAGTTATGTAATGTGTGTTGTGTTGTGTTGCTTAGGTTGGAGCTGTGATTCTACTGTAACTCATAAAAAAAAGATGACAAAGTAAGAGAACTGAGAAACAGGACAATCATAAAAACAGGAGACATTGTACTTTTCCAGAAGGTGAAGCTCCAGATGATGTAAGGCTGTGTTACTAGACTGTTTGACAAGAAGAGAACATGCATGTGAGTCAAAGAGCAGCTGTGTGTTTGCCTGAAAACACTGGCCTCAGGACACACACACACGGTGTTTTGAAATGAGCAATAGAAAACATGTCTAGAATGTGACATTTAACCTGTTTTGTATACTACACAAATACACCCAAACTGTGTAATGTAAGTTGGCACACCTCATCACGACCTCTGCAAGAGTGGGCTTGTTTATGAGACTTTTTGTCAAGTTTTTTTTTATTTCACTGCATTATCAAAGATGGAAGTTTTGTTATGCTATTTACCGCATCTCTTTATTTTCTAAATGTATACGATCATTTGCACACTATACGCTGTATGTCAGGGATGCTAAACACTGAAAACACAAGCCTTGGAGAGCTCAGCTGATGTTAGATCAGTATGACATCACTGTAGGTGTATAAGAAGAGCATATGGGTCAAGTCTGAGGTTACAGCCCCATTATTGTGAACGCATGAGAGGGGATTTGGTTTCAGGATATAAAATCACACTATCGTTTGTCCTCACCTCTGAGCTGCTCTTCAGAGGGAGCAGCTCAACAGCATCGATGAGAGCGCGACGCTGGGGGCCGCAGGAGCCGTGCTGTGGGGGCCAGTGCTGATTACAGAGACAAGGCAATGAAACTTAATCAGACCACAATTGCACTACACTCAGAAAGTCTGAAGTACATTTAGATAATTAGTGGTGCTTGCTAAGATATAAGGTTGGAATACATCACACGATTTCCCCCAGATTTTTCTCCCAATTCACAGTCTGGAAAGGTTGGCACTATTTTGTTTGATATTTTTAGCAGATTTTAGAACGCAATTTTGAAGTAGTTTTTATTTTTACATTTTCAGTTTTTATTATGATTTATGTTTAAATATTAGTATTTTTTTTGTTGTTGCCATTTTCTATTATTATTATTATTATTATTTTAATATTTATATTCAGCTTTAATGTATTTTTATTTCAGTTTTGGTGTTAGTTATTTTAGTACTTCAACTTATTTTATTTCAGTTAGTTGCCAAGACAACATTTCTAATGTTTAACTCAGTAAATCTAGTATACCTGGTGTTTTAACATGTTCATATTTGTCATGAACTGTATCCAGCCTTCCAGATCAGAACAACTACATAGCAATGCACTAACAACCACTCAGAACACCATAGCAATGCCCTGGCATCAACTGGCTATTTCATATGCATGCTTTTATCTAATCTGATCTACTTTTCTAAACCAGACTTCCTATGTGTGTTTTTCTGTGCATCTCGACAGCAATATCAACCACTAGGCATGAAGTCAGCTAAAATGGGCTATCAGGTAAAATGGGCCAAAAAAGGTTGTCGCTTCATATCTCTTTAAATTTTACAGCCAATCACAATA